GAGTCCTTGAAGTCGTAACGCTCGTGAAGGCGTTTGTAGGTGGAGAAGACGTTGGATGACGACACGAAGATGGTGGATCTTCACCACCAGCAGCAGCAGCAGCAGCACAGCGACAGCAGCAGCAGCAGCAGCAGCAGCAGCAGCAGCAGCAGCAGCAGCAGCAGCAGCAGCAGCAGCCCGTCGGCACAGCAGTAGACATCGAGAGGGAGAAAAGAAACGGAGGCAGAGACGCAGTACAGAACGCGGCCGCACTTGAGAACCCAGAAAAAAAAATCAAAACTGAAGATCTTGAGCGCCATTTGTGAGCTCGGTTGAGATCCCCTACACTAAAACCTATATGCGGCCATTCGTAGCATGACCCTAGGAATACAGTTACAACCCCACCCTCGGCCATAACCAAAGGTTCTTGTAATATTTGCTTGAGCACAATTTGTGAGCTCTGTTGGGAACCCCCACACTAAAACCTATATAGCGGCCATTCGTAGCATGACCCTAGGAATACGGTAAGAACCCCACCCTCGGCCATAACCAAAGGTTCTTGTAATATTTGCTTGAGCACAATTTGTGAGCTCTGTTGGGAACCCCTACACTAAAACCTATATAGCGGCCATTCGTAGCATGACCCTAGGAATACAGTTACAACCCCAAGCCTCGGCCAAAACTAGAGGTTCTAAGTGCGGGCGCCTTCTGTACTATTTTGTTGTTTTTTGCTGTTGGACGTGACATTCCGTGAGACACCACACCCCCCGGACCGATTTTCAAATCTTCATTCCCGTTACGACGAAGAGGACGTACAACACGAAGCGGTACGTTTCGGAAAGTTCTCGACGACATGGTTCCGACGCCACTATTTGCGGCACCGTGTCTCTTCCCTACCGTAGAGAAAGCCAGCTTTGGAAATCGGTCCAGGGCGGTACCGTAAATGACGCAACATAACACACCCCCTGGACCGATATTCAAATCTCGATTTCTCAACAGCAGAAAGAGTCGCAGCGCCGACAACGGTGGCGTTTGAAGCTTCCCGTCGAGAGCTTTCCAAAAATGTATTGTTTCATTTATGCGTCCTCTTCAATGCGGCGTAATCGAGCTTTGAAAATTGGTTGTTATCTTGTGTCATGTACGGTATTCTCCTTTTCGCTGCATCCGATCAAGGGCGTGCTGCGGCACCTTACGCAAGCTACGGCACTACTGCTGTAGTTGTAAAAAGCGCTACATAGGGCGGGGGTGCCATCTCTCTCTGGGTCTTACGGTACGGTATAACCGCGGCGGTTTACCCACCGTTTCGTCCTGGGGTTCGTGACGCGGTAAACGCCGAAGAAGCGGGTGATGAGAGAACCCCGCCGCCTCGCCACGTGCTCCGCGTAGTGCGGCAGCAGCCGCAGCATCGAGTCCAGCTCCGATTCCGACTGTTCGTTTTTTGGGGAAGGAAGCGCCCGACAGCGGCGAACGGAAAGGGTCCGACAGTGAGGTGAAAGGGTCCGACAGCAAGGACGAAAGGGTCCGAGTCCTACGCCGATTCCAACTGGTTACTTTGGGGAAACACCCGACAGCGTTGAGACAAAAGGGTCCGACAGCAGGACAAAAGGGTCCGATAGCAAGACCAAAGGGCGCGGCAGTAAGAGGGACACAAACAAAATTACTCACCGCGGTCTTGAGCATGTACTTGCCGTCCTCGCTGAACATGAAGCTCTGCGCGCTCTTGGAGTTGGAAGCAAGGGCGATCATCCTGGAATCTTCTCGGAATGATCTCCGGTACTCCGACGACGGCATTCCGTACACTCCACGCAGGTGCGCTACAAAAAAAAAAAAAAGAACGAACGGCTATTGTTGCAAGGGCGATCATCCTGGAATCTTCTTGGAATGATCTCGGGTACTCCGACGATGGCATACCGTACACTCCACGCAGGTGCGCCACAAAAAAAAAAAAAAAACGAGCCTGTTACCCAGCTTTGGGAGATATCACTTTGTGCTGCTCGCGAAATCGTGGAAATATAGGCAGCCTTCGCTAACGCTATACGCTATGGATTCATTGGGTCATATGAAGAAAGAAAAAAAAAGTGAACGAACGAACGGCTATTGTTCAGCCTGTTGCCCACAGGGGAAATATCGCTATACCGTAAGGTTGCATGACGTAAGATACCACACACACCCTGGACCGATTTTCAATTTTCAAAGCACGATTACTCCACGACCAAGAGGAGGCCGGAGGTAAACGATACGTGTCCGGAAAACTCTCGGCAGGACGGTTCCAACTCCGCAATTTTCGGCACCGTCACTGCTTTTCCCTGCCGAGTAATCAAGCCTTGAAAATGGGCCCAGGGGGTGTGATACCTTATGCAACCTACGCCACGATGCCCGGGGAAACGTAGAAACGCAGGTAGTGCCCCGCTAACGCTAACAATTAATTGCTAACTTAAAACCTAGATCGTATTTTCTGTTGTATAGGATAGATATGGATTCGTGTAGGAAAAAAATAAAAAGAAAACGTCCCGATGGCGGGCGCGGCGTACTCGAAAAATCCGTTGCTATTAATAACATATCCTAGACCCCTCATCTACGGAAAAGATGGAATCGTTCAAGAAATAAAAATAACATATGACTAACCGAAGGCGGGGGCGGCGTACTCGAAATACTAATCGCTAATGTGCATATATCCTAGACCTCTTATCGACGGATTCGTCTGAAAAAAAAAAAAAAAATACAGAGGGGGGGGGGCGACGTTAGAGATAGATCCGCTTACGAAAAACAAAAAAGACTTACCGAAGGCCGGGGCGGCGTACTCGAAGAAAAGCAGCGGGGGGGCGTGTCCCTCCCCCGTGTCCTCTCCGGCCTCCCGATACTCGCCTTCGTCGTCGTACGCGTTACCCGTGGCGGCGTTTTCTCGTACAGGAGGGTGCACGATCTCTGTGCAGTCGACCTGTTGTTGTCGTCGTCGTCGTTGGTGGTGGTGGTGGCGTTGTTGTTGTTGTTGTTGTTGTTGTTGTGGTATTGTTGTTTAGTTGTTGTTGCTGTTGTTGCTTTCTGAAACTCACAACATCGAGAATTGGAAAACCGTACTCACCTCCGTCTACACCGCAGCACCTCTCCACGACACCCAACCTCATGAAATTTCACTCAAAATCTTCGTCCGGCCATATTGGAGCCCTCTCACTACCGTGGATAAAAATCACACCAATATATCACACCAAAATATCACACCGATCGATACAATCGCCGAATTCATCACGGCGCTTCGCGCTTAGTGGTGCAAGAGCCGCGCAAGGGGGATGATCGCACCACGTTGTGTTAAAATGGTCAAGCATCCTCGAGGCAGTTGCACAGTGCTTATAACTGTCTCTGGAAGTGAAAGCACCAGAAAATAAATTAAGTCAGCTGTCATCCGGACGCAAGGAAGTAAGCGCATGATGTCGAACACCCTTAGCAGGATTCAGCGCACCCTTCATGCGACTCGCCGAATACATCATGGCGTATGGCGCTTGGTGATGTGAGAGCCTGCTCCGGTGAGAACCCGGCGTGCTCCGTCCCGGCTTTGTAGGGATGCGAGGTCAATGGTCTAACGACTACGGCATGCACGACTATGAGTACATCCCCCCCCCCCCTTGGCCTCAAATCTCGACTAGTCCACGACGAAGAGAATGCATAAATGAGACAAAAACACGTAATCGGAAAGCTCTCGGCGAGACGGCTTCAACGCCGTCGTGCTCGGCGCTGCCACTCATCCTGTTGCGGAGAAAAAATCGAGCTTCGAAACCCAGCTCAGGGGGGGTGTTATCTTGTGCCATGTACTGTACAGAAATGGTCCGCAGTGAAAAAACATCTCGTTAAGAAACAGAGGGTCAAATTTTCACGAAAACAAGGAAGCAGGGCTAAGAAACAACAGCTCACAGGTGGATCCTGGACTACACTCAATGAACAACCTGTGCTCGAAACAAAAGATACAAAACAAAAACTGAGCCTCGACCCGATCTTGCCGTTTTTTATCTCCAGGCCCGATCGGGTTGGTGGACTTCAGAATAGAAAAGCTTGCTCGCGTCTTTTCATAGACAGACAAAACAACGTCCCGCACCTTTTATGAACATTTCCGGCGATGCTCGTACGGTGTTGAAGTGCAGGGTGTTCCCTCCCCACTTACCGCTCGGGTTGGTGGCCTTAAAGGCGTGCTCGCGTTCTTTTTTTAGTCAGACCCGGAAAATTACCCACCTTTCTGGCCCAAAAGAACGTGCTCGCGTTTATGAGACAGACAAAAAAATCACAAATCAACAATCACAAAAAAAAAAAAACACGCACCTTTGTGAACATTTCCGGCGATGCTCGGGCGGTGTTGAGGTGCAGCGTGTCCCTCCCCACCCTGACCCCTTTCAGCACCGCCCTAGTCTCCGCGAAACGTGCATCGGACGGGTTCGCTTCCATAAGGGTGCCGCCAAGCTGGGGAGGGGGGGGGGGG